GGGTAGCTCCGGATCACAAGGATTGCGAGGTGAGCCGGGTTCAGTAGGTCCACCAGGAGAGAAAGGCCTGCCGGGCGAAATTGGTCGACAAGGAATAAAAGGAGAAGATGGCCCCGATGGAACAACAGGTCCTGCGGGACCGCAAGGTCTTCAAGGGCTCCCAGGCCCGGCCGGTTTAAAGGGTGAAATAGGAGATATTGGTCTAGTAGGACCCGTTGGTCCTGCTGGGCCACCTGGCGAACCTGGAATTAGAGGAGGAAAAGGAATTGAAGGAGTTACTGGGCCCCCAGGGCCTGAAGGTCCTCAAGGCCAAAAAGGAGATTCCGGTATGCCAGGGATAAGTGGGTCACCTGGAATAGAAGGGAAACCTGTAAGTAACATTTTGTCGATACGATACGAAGCTTTGGGCATTGAATAAAAAATTATTTTTATTATTTTATTCAATGCTTTTCGGTTAGAATTGCTATTATAGCAGCAGGGTAAAACTTACTTTATGCCTTTTAACTTCCTTGGACATTCTCTAACACAGTCTTCATAATATACGTTATTGAAGGGCGAGAAGGGTTCGCTTGGATCTAAAGGAGATGAAGGAAAAATGGGCCATCAAGGCGCACCAGGGCCGAGGGGAGTGGTTGGTCCGGAAGGGCCTAAAGGGTCCGCTGGTCCTCCAGGATTTCCAGGTATGGATAGCTTTTAAGTCAAACGAATAGAGAGTAAGATACCTTTCTAAGGTCCTCCGGGAGTACCTGGCGAAATAGGACCCAAGGGCGAACCAGGAAAAGAAGGTGCAGATGGCAAGCAAGGAGATGCCGGAGAACCAGGTGAAGCGGGTCCTCCTGGAAAAGTAGGACCCGCAGGTTCGCCAGGGAAACAGGTAAGAGTTCATTTTTGGTGTTGAGAATTATATTCATGTATTGACCAGGGTCCCGAAGGTCCAGCTGGTTTTCAAGGAAACACTGGATTACCTGGTGATAAGGGAGACAAAGGAGTTCCTGGACCCATTGGGTTGCAAGGACCCGTTGGCCCTCAAGGTGTTCCTGGAACGCAAGGTGTAGCAGGCCCAAGAGGATCTCCTGGACCGGCGGTAGGAAAATACGCAGTTTTCTGTTTGGATTGTTTTGAGTTTTGAGTATTTTGCTTTTTTATTAGGGAGATGTGGGTCCACCAGGTAAAGCCGGTGGTGATGGTCTCCCTGGTAAAACGGGCGAAACCGGTCCCAAAGGCGAGAAAGGGGAAAGAACACGAAGAGGCATGAAAGGACATAGAGGAGACATTGGCCCGCCTGGTATTAAGGGTGAAATGGGCGAAAAAGGTGAACCTGGTCCTAAGGGGCCTATAGGACCGGAGGGGAAGAAAGGGGAAATTGTAAGTTAATTCATTTAAAATAACAATTGCTAATTATATTGATATTGGTAGGGTCCTATTGGAAATATTGGGTTAAAAGGGAATGATGGACCTCCAGGTCCCATGGGTATCGAAGGTCCTACAGGACTCAAAGGCCTATTGGGTCCTACAGGAGTTAAAGGTGAAGCAGGTCCCCCTGGACCTCCGGGGCCTCCTGGTCCACCTGCTGATATGCCTTTACTACCACCAGAACTCTTATTCCAACAAGAATTATCCAGATCACGCAGAAGTGTGGAAAGTTTAATGTAATTATTTGACTTGCCCCTAACTTCGTCTAATTATCTATCTTCAGAAATGATTTTGAGAAAGATTTAAAGTATATTAATCCCCAAATCGCTGGACAAAATAAACTAAGGGACGAGGATTTGAAATTTTTGGATATGTATAACAGCATATATAGTATGAGACAAGATTTAGATCGCATTAAAAAACCTTTAGGTACAAAAGAAAACCCTGCAAGGAGTTGTAAAGATCTATTCTATGGACATCCACAATATTTGAATGGTAGGTTTCTTACATTAAGTAATTAAGCTAACGCAGTGTCCCACGTCAGCGACAACTCACGCGGCCGGCGTGGTCGTCGCAGCTATATCAAAGCATGATAGTTTACGCAGTGTTCTAAATGAGCGGCAACACGCGGCTAACGCCGCCGGCGCGGTTGACGCTGCAAGCGCGGCGTAAACGGCAAACGCGACCAGCGAATGTCCTACGTGCAAGCACCGAACATAAAGTGATGCAAGCGCATGTTGTTAAGACTGAAGCGGCAGACGCGGAAATATCAAATATTTTGACCTCCTGTGTCGCCTCAAAAACGCTTTAGCAGTGCGCGCCGCGTGGTACGTGGTTGCTAGGTAGGACATTCTAATAAACTATCATGCTTTGAAATAGCCGCGACGACCGCACCGGCCGCGTGTTTCCGCTCACGTAGTACACTCCGTAAGTTAAATAAAACAAGTTCTATAAATTGTAAGGGTATAATTCAGGTGGTATCGATTTTGATCTTGCTAGGATATTTAAAATTGGCGCTTTATCTGAGCACAACGTTCCCAAATTTGAATGTGATAAATCTACCCAAATTAAGCTTTCAATATACCAACAATTTTGTATTTATTTTGAAACACCATTAATGACATAACTTGCGTAAGACAACACCATTTAATTTGCCTCCGCGACTTCGTTGGATAACAGCTCATATACGGTCGGTACAATTTTCAATGCCTAACGAACGAACGCAAATTAGGTCCAATTTACGAATAAAACGTTTAGGTAACGTTACTCCCAAAATCGAAGGCCCGTTACTACGGGAAATCATGGGACATGTAAACTTCTACTTAAAACAATCCATTGTTTGGCGAGCAGCGTGGCACCATCTTGCTAGAACCACACTGCAGAGATCTGTACCTTCCAAAGTCAAGGCTACTTATGACTGGTGATAGACGTTTCAAACGAAATGTATCCTTACCTGTTTTTAGTATCACAAATAAACATAGTTTTGTGCTTTGATGACGGAGATGACTGAAAGTGTAGCCGTAGATTCTCGAATATTCTTTGTGCGTTGGGTTACACAGAATATTTGATGAAGAAATCTATTGCTCTGAGTGTTTGACATATTGGATCGCCGCTCGTCATATATAAATGTTTAAGTGGTTATTTTCTAGGTTGGTATTGGATTGATCCAAATAGCGGCATGCCAGATGATGCCATATATGTGTATTGCGACCTATCGAACGGTGGAGAGACATGCGTACCTCCAGATGTACACAGCGCCCATATGCCTAATATTCCATGGAGGAAGGAGGGAAATTCGAATAATTGGTATTCAAACTTGCGAGGTGGTTTTAAGGTAGATACATCTTATGAAATCGCCTTTTTGTTTTAAATGTTAAACCATTTTAGATAACATACGAGACAGTAGGTGTTGTGCAGATGACGTTTTTAAAATTGCTCTCTCAGGACGCATACCAAAATTTTACCTATTCGTGTATTAATGGAGTCGCGTGGTACAATTCAAAAACAATGAATAACGATCTCTCAATAAAGCTACTAGGAGAAAATGAACAAGAATTTTCCAATACGGCAATAAAACCAAACGTTCTTATCGACGGGTGTAAAACGAGAACAACCAAAAGTGAAACAATCTTTGAAATTCGTACCAAAAAATTAAGTCAATTACCGATCGTCGACTTTTATCCCGTTGATTACGGTAGTTCTAACCAAGCGTTTGGTTTCTTAGTTGGTCCTGTATGCTTCAAATAAAATCATCAAGAGGACATTATACCCATTACAGCGCTACAACCATATTGTACCACTAATTATATGTAGCTACCTGTATCTTTAAGAAAATGTAAACATTTATATTTTCTATTCCTTATACACTTCACTGCCATTACTATACAACTAATTCAAAAATTGTGGTACATACCTACATGTTAAAACCTTTGCAATACCTATGATGCTCAAAAAATTGGAAAATGTTGTATAAAAGTTAGATATGAATAAAAATAAATAAATTAGGTTAAAAGTAAGAATACTGTAAAAAATGTAAATTTTATGCAATTTTTATTAAAAAATCTGGAATTTGGGTTGTTTTCATTTTTGAAGCAAGAAATTCATTCTAGTAAGTACCTATAAATCTGAGACGATGAACGATATTTCCATGACTTGTATTACTTCCGGCACACAGTAACTACTTTATCTGTGCTTCCGGTCACTTTAAAGACCACTTCCTGATATCTCCAACGACATAGACGCTACAGTGCGTTTTCTATAAGTAAGTATGCACTACTTCCGGTTTATCAGAGTTTATCACTTCTGGTAGGGTCCTACGGACAAATTTGAGGTGGCTCCATATCTCTGTACCCCAAAGGAAAAGTGTCCTAAGTCACAAAACATAAATTTTACAGGAGCGAAAATAACAAAATATTTTGTTTGATTTTTAAATCTTTTTAGACCTGGTTAGCTTAAGATACATTAAACTTACAAAAGTAAAATTTATATATAAGGCCCGGGATTATGTTGCGCCAATGGCCAAGTGAAATTGACGCCATTGGTACCGCCACCAGAGCCACTAAAGCCCTTGGTTTCCGGAAATGAGCCAGATTCTATATTTTTTTGTCTCATATTCAGAAATACAATAATAATTGCTTTCAAATTACGGCGTTTGGCACAACAAAAAAAAGGTACATTGCTAGCTCTGAATCGCCAAAAGCAACTAGAAGTGAGTGCGTTTATTTTTTATTATTTTGGGGAGAGATGGGAAAATTTTGGGGCAAGTGTGTCAAAATCTCTTTTCCGACTAAACGGTTGAACCGATTTAAACCAAATTTGCAACACATATTCTTAGACATAAAAAGAGCAAAATTGCGCATGCGCAGGTGGGGCGAGTGGTACCTGTGCTAGCCACAGCAAATTTTTTGAAATAATTTTTTGTTATTATTTATTTTATTCCAGTCCGAATTGAATAGGTATTCACTATTCATACCTAAGAAAGAGGACAACGTCCGTCGGGTCAGCTAGTAATAATAATAATAATAATTTAATCGTTCGATCGTCATCACAGTCATCGATACGTCATAAGTTAAAATTAACAAACAATAATATGTATAACAATTTGGGCAAACAAATGTATAGGTATTACATCAACTATAGCCTAGAAGTATAAAAGTGTATGAACTCTTGAACCGAATAAAAAGCATTTTTCTGGAGAACAGCCTTGATGAGAGATTTAAATTGTTTAATAACACAGTTTGTCAGGTCCTGGGGTAGCAAATTATACAATTTAGAGGCCATATGATTTTTTATAACACTCATAATGGTGTTTGTGAATTAATATTTTGTTTTTCCTCTTGTGTTATAATTGTGTGTACTTCCTACTCTACGGAAACTATCTGAGTGCGAGCGCATGTACATTAATAATTTTAGGATGTATACAGGGTGGTGACTTGCGTAACGCATCATAGGGATTTCAATGTAAAATTCATAACATGCGATGATTGGCTCCCCAAATTATTTTAGAGCAAAAATGTATTAAGGTTTTTTGTAGGAAAAAATTTTTTACGTCAATCAACCCTATTAGTTTTCAATTTTTTGCATAATAAAGAGGGAAAATTGGAAAATAAAACCCCCATCTTTTTCAATAATCTGTGATGCCATGGAAAGGGAACGACTATGGCCCGTTTCCACTCATCAGGGTAGATACTATTTTCCCAACAAAAATTAAAGAAATCTAAAATCACTTGTTTCATCGGGTTGCTACAATGACGAAGCATCTGATTGTGGATACTATCGTGACTGGGAGCGCAGGATTTCGTGTTTTTAAGTGCAGATTCTAATTCATCCATACTAAAAGGTAAGTTATAGTAACGAACTACTGACCTGATAGAAATGGTCTGCCAAGAGGTACGAAATTTCTTGTAAATCTTTCGTAACCACCCCATCGTTTTTCCGAAGGAATGCCGGGTAGTTTAGTTTAGATTTGCCAGATATCGAACCCACTTTTTTCCATATTTCACTCATAGTCACGTCCGTCGTTATGGTGGATACATAGTGTTGCCACGACCTTCTTTGTGCCTGGAGAATTTCCCGACGACATTCAGCTCTGCGTTTTTTAAAGACTATCAGGTTATCCAGGGAAGGATTACGTCGGAACTTGTTTAATGCTCTTTTTTTAATTGCTATTTTTTCTTTTATTACAGATGACCACCATGGGACAGATCTAGTGATCTGTCTAGCCTTTGACATAGGTATACTTTTCTTTGCAGCTTCCAAAATGGAGGATGTGATATTCACCAGGTTTAGCTTGTCATCATTTGGAGGAGGACATAGTTGGTGAGTAAAATATTCCCAATCTGCTTGTTGGATTTTGAATTTTGCTGTAGATCTTATTGCAGGAATGTTGACACCTCGAAAAGTCAAGATTATGGGAAAGTGGTCACTATTAAATAGATCATTTTCCACTTCCCATTTCAATTCAGTGTATAGAGACGGAGAACATATAGACAAATCAATGGTGTCAAAAGTGCCTGATCTTATGTTAAAGTAAGTAGAGGAGTCGTCATTTAAAATACAAAGAGCTTTAGTCTCGATGAGATCTAATAGCTCTTTACCTCGTAATTAAAATAAAGTAAAATTAAAATAAAAATAAAATAAAATTCACCTACGCTAACTTACTGATTTGTAATATTATGTTGACAATTTCTAGATGTTATTTAAATGTTTCAATTGTGATAAGGACACACCAAATAGTCGCAGCTCAGTTGCATAATCTCATCATGCGATTAATACACTTCAATAATGTGAGTGGGGTCAAATTGGTTCCTAATACGACATATTAGGTAGTATGCCTTGTTTAATTTGCTACGAACGTGATCCAGATGAGAGTTCCAGGAGAGGTTATCGTCTATTTTGCATCCTAGGTACGTGGACGTTGGTTGGCATGGTATTACTGCGCTCTCTATGGGAGTCCCACTTTGACCCGAGACAAAATTATCGTCTTCTCAGTGTTCGCTGTAAGTTTGTTTGTTTGACACCAAAATGTAAATTCCGCTATAACTTGATTTAACTTTTCTGCAGCTTGGTCAGGATTATCGGCGCTCACTACTACAGCAGTGTCGTCAGCATACATGTAGGTTTTTCCGTGCAGTATATGTCGTGGCAGGTCGTTAATGTATAGTACGAACAAGATGGGACCCAAGTTGCTGCCTTGGGGCGTTCCTAAATTCAATGCATATTCGAATGAAGACATATTTTCATAATTCACGATATACTTTCGATTAGCCAAGAATGACAAGATGAAATCCTGGCATTCATTGCGAATACCTGCATTCTCAAGTTTCCTTGATAAAGTACCTACGTCTATACTGTGAAAAGCTTTTCTGATGTCAAATAACACAACAAAGCAATGTTTATTTGAATCGAGTTCCTCATATATATGCTGCACTAAGTGCGTTGTGGCGTCTTCTGTAGATAACCCAGCGCGGAAACCGTACTGACTGTCGGAAAGAATGTGGAATTTTTGCAAAAACGTTGTTAGTCTCTCGTTAACACATTTCTCAAAAATTTTCGAAAAGGAACTTAATAAGGATATCGGTCTGTAATTGGAGACAACTGCTGTGTCACCTTTTTTATGCACAGGCACTACGCGCGCACTTTTTAATTTTTCGGGAAATACACCTTGAGTAACACAGTAGTTAATGAGGCTGGATAGTTGGGGAGCAATGGCATTGGCACAGCATTTTAAGAGAGAGTTGGGTATATCACCAAGGTCCGGCGATGTACCACGTTTTAGAGAATTGTATTATGTTATACACTTCACTTGAAGAAGTCGGTGTAAAAAAGAAGGATGCATTCAACACAGGGTTGTTTCTTGGGGTGAGTGTACTCCTTGGCGCCAGACTACGTGTGTGTGGTACTGAGGCCTTAAAAAAGACCGCAAAATCGTCCGCGACCACTATGCAAAAAATCTTCGTGTACAACACGTGTTGAAAGTGTCTTTTTTTCATGAATTTGCATGATTAACTCGGGCTTCGCCCTCATTTATCAAAATGCAAATTCATTAAAAAAAAGTATCACTTTCAAAACTAGTTGCACAAATAACTATTCCGCGCGACATATCGACCACAAAATTAACTCAGAAACCATCATTATTAATTAGCGCCAGATTGGGAGCAACTACTTTATCATTATCGTCAGTCTGATCGTCCGTCCCACCGTTTGCACTATAATACGCCGGATGTCCACCGAATCGGGGCGACGAAGATCGGTCCAACTGTAGTCGTATCCAGATTGATCGGGCCGACTAAAATATTGGCAATTCACATAGATAGGTCGATCGCCTTTCGAACGATTTTTATCGGGTTGACAGTTGACATTCATCTTCGATAAAATGTCAAGTGAAGACGAAACAGTTGTCGCATGCTTTGCACCACAGGGGAAAGAAAATTCGCCGCCACAGTTATTGGCCCGTATGAATAAAAGTAAGCAAATGCTTATACTTGCAAAATTCAAAGTAAATACTCGTAAGTGCTTCCCACTGGGCGACTTAGCAGCGCTGCTGAGCAGCAGGACAGGGCGCAGTGCAGTGCTGCTATACAGACCAGCATGAAGGGGCAGTTACGAGTATTTACTTTGAATTTTGCAAGTATAAGCATTTGCTTATTTTTATTCATACGGGCCATTGGGTACATCCGTACATAACTAATAATAGAAACAGAGGTGCTTTCATTTGTGCCCGTGAACTTGCGAATCATGAACAAAAATTTAAATGTATGTCCAAGAGTAGTTTTTTTTTCCTTTTGGCTGACCTTGCTCGACCATTAACTGCCAGAAGGGACACCAATTACATCTGTGACGGTAGAAGAAGGTTTATCAGCACTTTTGATTATTATGACACACGACTGCCGACAATAATGATCGTGCAAGAGCGTCGCGTCGGGCGAAAATAGTCGGTTGCGATTTCGATCGGTCCCGACAAAAATCTAGCCTGTGGACAAGCTTCAATAGAAGCCATATATATAAGAGAATATATGATAGAAGCGCACGCGCGCGATCTTTATCGGACGATTCAAATCGCACCGATCTTGGTCGTTCCGATGTGGTGGACATCCGGCCTTTTAAAAAAAAAGCTTTGGCGTATAAAGGACAAGTTCGGCACATAGATAGATTACAAGTGGGGTAACCACTCCCGAAATTACTGTACATTTGTCCCGAAATCTCACCGCAATCCCCCGAAATCCTCCGAAATCAGGCCGAATTCCTCGCAATCCTGCTGAATTCAAGGAAATCACTCCGAATTCACGGAAATCACTCCGAATTCCTAGAAATCTCACCGAAATCTCGCTGAAATCCCCACAATCCTGCCAAGTTCAGTGTATACGTTTTGTTCCTTATTCTCGTCGAAATTCTCCACAATCAGACCGAATTCCCTGAGCAATCCTGCCGAAATCACGCCGCAATCACCGCAGTCCTATCGGAATCGCTGCAATCTCACTGAAATCTTTTTGTCTTCTGGTATTGCACATCTACGTTACCTTAATTTTTTATTCAATGGTTACAGTTACACAGGCTTTGCCCGTTGTAAATGAGCGGACTGTATCTTAAGTAAGTTTATCTTACCTTTAATTTTTCGGCGATTCGGCGTAAACTTGTGAATGGGTCATGAAGGAAAGGAAAAAGGAAAACTCACCCCAATCAGCTAAAAGAACTAAAACGTTTAACTGTTCTGCTTGCTTTAACTTAACTGTGTGTGAATAGTTGAAATCAAAAATTATCTATTATTCTGTGCACGCATTAGTTATGCGCAGGTAACTAAAATTGTATATGAAAGCATTGAAATGAAAGTAACAAAAACGCGGCAAGTTTAAATTGCTCATTCATTAACACCCGTGACTTGATAAAAATACAACTGGCAAGCAAGACGCAAGTTAGGCGTACAGTGTGGTCCAGTTTCGATGGGATTAAATGAGTAACTTTCTTATTAGCGCAGATAAACGAAAACGGTTTAAGTAAGTATACTGGCCGGCCGGTACCTCCTTTTTCATGCTTATTCCAATTACCATTACCAGAAATAAGCTGCCGTCTTGTAGTGTACTTAACCCCCAGGTTCTACGCTAACTTCACACTACAAGAACACGGAAATAAAATAAACCCGGCAACGTTTAAAAATGGACACCCGAATGACTATTCTCTCTAAAACTAAACAAGAACCCGCTTAAATTTGAAAAGTGGCACGTGATAAAACATCTAAGGCAGGCCCCCCTTACGTTAGTTGTAGACAACGCTTTGACCTGAAGCACAGTAGGGAAGGAACGTTAAATAAAACACTGAAATTGTGAAAAGTTTGTTTAATAATGATCGTAATTATTATGATTGTGAAAACCCGAAAATTTAGTTGATGTACATTGATATAAACAAAACAAACAAAGCCAAAAGGTGTCGTACTCTCGCAAAAGTCACTGCCAAGGATAAAAAGAGTACGACGTAAGAAAAACCTTGCAGTTTGATTAAAACAGTCCAAAAGTTAATTAACAAAATATTTTGTAAAAGTTTAAGCAGTAGTTAACAAAGATAGTAAATGCATATACACAATGTTTGTTACACTCAAGGTTAAAGCAAGTTTTTGGGGACAATGGGTCAGGTAGGAGCAGGTACCAAGATTCTGAGAAAGGGTTAAAAGTACAGATTGTGACTCATCTTTGGTGCAATAAAGTCCTTTTGTTGAAAGCAAGATGGAAGATTACATGGCCTTGTAGGCAAATTTGACTAAAAACAAGATATGTGGAAATTATTGAATCGCCACTCATTTAACGCACATAGATTCTAAACTGAAGAGCTTTGATTAGCGTAATCTCGCTCCTGCAAGATGGGTAGTCCGCCCCTGGTTTCGGGGTTTCGAACCTACAGTTGGATGTCGAAGACAGTGCACGGAATTAGGTGCCCTAACACATAATTATAGACTACAGTTTCTTTTTCCACCTTCCCGAGACTGCTTCATTCACGGAGAAAATTGTTAGTAACAAACAACAAGTCAGTACATACATCAAACGAATCAGCAATTTCCACATATTAAAATAAAATGAAAACTTACATGAATGTAACTTCAGGGACAAGACCAAGTAATCAACATCAATAAACATAAATTAAGCAAACATTACACCAAAAATGTAAACAATTATAAACAATAGCATAACGGTATCACACATATGATTGCACACAGGATGTTGAATGACGTAAGATAAACATTCTTCCTTTCATGAATCGTGACCTTATTTAACATTCCTTAAGGAAGATTGAATTACAATAGGTTGCCGACCCCTGTCCTAGGTAGTTTAACCGGTGGCAACGGTTTAACCGACACACACAAAAATTAAGAATAGATAGGTAGGTACATTTAATTTCTGTTACAGTGATCAAGGATGCCTGCGTATTTTTTGCTTTCCTGTTCAAATGTAATTCAATCTTCCTTAAGGAATGTTAAGTAAGGTCACGATTCATGAAAGGAAGAATGTTTATCTTACGTCATTCAACATCCTGTGTGCCACATAAATGCCTTATAAGTACGTTTCTTGGGTATCTAGAATTCTGTATACAACAATTAGAAATCGAGATAGTGGATTCATTACAGATTCCTGTATAATAATTAACAAAGGTAAAAAACTGACATTATTATTCATCTTTCTCGATGGTAGAGACATCTACGTCGTGTAATTTAAACTATTGAAAACAGTCACATATCCTGCCATTTAACCTGCGCTTCTGATAGTTATAAATTCAATGGTAGTACATTACTATGAATTTTTCATTGCAATCCCTATGATGCGTTACGCAAGTCACCACCCTGTATAAGGACCAAATAAAGTTGAAAATATCTAAATTTTTCACCCGCATGTACGACCCCTTCTTCTCCGTATAGTTTTAAATTAGGGGTTGTTATTTATGAATTGCCACACTGCTAATATTCGCAAACAATTACCGGCTTTTGCCATTTTTATACAACGGCGATAGGATATCGAAATTAATTCATGATAACAAAGACACATGTCTCAATACAAGATTATCAAAAATGTTTGAAAGAAGTATTTATAGATGGCACTTTAAAACATGTATAGATGCCATTTGTATAAGTAATGACGCAAACTACTTATACCTGCAAAATTAATAGTTACTGAAATCACACATAGAGGCTTGAATCCTTTATACCGCGCAATTATTTTTCCTATGCCAAGACACAGCCGTCTATAATTAAAAGCCGTGCTGAGAATTATGGCAACACTGCATGGTAGGCCGATTTCCTAATTCAACATGACAGATTATGAGTGTATATTCTTATTCCCAAGAGTTCATGGTACGGGAATTTGAAGTCTGTGGAGCTCCCCTCTTTAAAAGCTTCGTATCTAGACCCACTGGAGTAGCGACTGGCTTAAAGTCTGCCATTCCGAATCACACTTGGTCGTTGATATAACCTCGCTGATGCGCAGCGATTTACTGTCCTTTTACCGAAATTAAGTGCTCAAGCGTGTGCTTCACCTCGACCTCTTTCGACAGAAGTTCACCAATTTCGGAGATCTCGATGGAAAGCACATTATGATGCAGTTACCAATTTACAGCGTTCCGAATTTTAAAGTCAAATAAAAATGTTATTATCCATTTTTGTAAATGAAAAAAATATATGTACAATTGTAAGCTGCCAAGTATCTTTCTTCTATATTAAAACCGCCACGACGAAACACAGGGGAGAGGAAAATGCCATTTTTCAAGAGCAACAAGACTCCATTAAAACTTACATCGGCCCACCGATTGACTTTCGAACAACGTTGCCAAACTGCTCAGCATGGCTTGTAATTATAGACGGCTGTGGCCAAGAGCTATGGTGTGTTTCTGTGGTTTAACCGAGTTTAACATTTGAAAGGTGTGAGGTATTGAGGTTATGTTTATGTTGTTGTTGATATTTAATTATTTGAGTGTTTCATAGCGGAGCGAGCTTTTTTATACCCTTACCCTACCCATAATTATGCTAATTGCATGATTCGCTTACATTCTAAGGGGTAAAACCGATCCTTTGATTTCTTGACATGGTCTCAACTAGAGGAGGAATAAAACTGAAATTTTACGAAGGCGAAAGAGTACTTTGTTATGAACCTGATCCAACTAAAGCCAAAGTGTTATACGATTCTAAGGTAGGTAGAGAGATATACATCTAATCTGTTATTACCAAATGTCTTGCTTAGGTTTTAGATGTTGTCATAACTAAAGATAGTCGTGGTCGGAAAAATGTGGAATATTTAATACACTTTCAGGTTCGTAAGAGGCATTCATTATAGTTACAAGGTGTTACGTGTGATGTTTTTAAGGGTTGGAACTCGTCATGGGACAGGTGTGTACGTGAAGAGTATGTACTCAAAGATACACCTGAAAATCGACAATTACAAAAAGATTTAGCAGAAAAATCACAACTTCACATGTAAGTATTTACTAAATCAATAGTAGGTACCACTTGTGTTTTCTGTATATTAATAATAATAACCTATGATAAATTCCCCAAATTTAAGATACAAACCAGGTGCATTAATTGATATGGTAGGATTTTCCTAAGGTTGTATGTACGTGATCGATGTATTACATCTGAATTGGGCATGTTTACATAGTATATGCAATTGATAGAACAGAACAGTGCTGCATTGTGGATTGTGGTTGGTGTACCAGCTATACCAACGATCCTCTACATTCTACAGTATATCGACCACAATGCAGTAGTGTTGGTATGCTTTGCTACATACCCTCGTACATACCCATTCTGCTCTATCCTCGGTTCTATCGATTGCAGACACTATGTAAACATATCTAATTCTGATGTAATACACTGATGACGTGCACAGGTGAAATTCCAGAAATTCCTCTATAATGTCATTTTGCTAAACAGAAAATATGCGAGGGAAGGATTCGTGACTAGTAAAATTGTTTTTCATAAGAATTATTTTTCGCAGAGGTGCATACTTGTATCGAAAAGAAAGGAAGAAACTAATTAGGAAAAGTAATGAACCTATTGCTCATTCGTCAGAGGATGGAAGTGTGGGCAGTCCAACACAATTGGACACCGATGAATCCAGCCACAGTTCTGAGGAGGATTCATCATTGGAGGATGACATGTTTCCTATTGAACTGAGCCAAGATTTAAAAGAAATTTTAGAAAATGATTACGAAAACATTAATAATCAAAATAAGGTATGTAGAAATTTTTTGTATGTTACACTTACTAGTAAAACATTTTGTTAACAGTTAATGAAGCTACCTGCAGAACCAAACGTGGTAACAATTTTGGAGATGTATTGGAAACATTATGCCACAAGTCTGCTATGTGGTTTAAATGATAAGCCACTTACTAGGCATAGGATACCAAGCAAAATAAGACCCGAAGATGTTCAGAAAAAGTAAGTGAAATACTTAGGCCCAGTTGCAAACACAAATTGGTTCTGAGATTCTCAGTAACGAACGATCCTTAGATGTGAGTCAAAATATGCAAGGATGAGATAGCGCTGCTTCAAGTGTAGGTAGTGACTGCTTGGTAGCTCACATTACAGGGGTTTTGAATTACACTTTTATGTTCTAAAATGAGCTCATCAGGACGTGTAGGGTGTGTTCCTACGAAATCATTGGATTTGACCCATTTTCAATAGTCTTGTTACATGTGCCACATAGGTCAACTCTGCAAAGTTTGAAACGAATCGGTCCAACCGTTTGCTCTTATTGAATATATCTAAGCAGAATACAGCAAAATGGAAATAAAATATAATTATTTATATGTATTCGCAATTGATTGAACTCTATTGGATTTTGTTATATTTTTCTATTAATCAAAGCCAACTCTTCAACAAAGATGATCTCCAACAGCTATGCTGCTTAATAATTCAGTTAAAGGGAAAATTGCACTTCATTTATATTTTTGTCTTATTTTCCAAAAATTACTGATTTCCTCAATATTTCAACAATCTTTTGCGTGGAAACCATATGACGTACACACAATGTTAAGAGACGTAATTTTCTCCTCTAAGCTCCAAAGGTTTTTTGATGATTTCCGAGATGATTTCTTATATTTGCGGGAAAAATTAAAGACAATTACACTAGAACTTTCTACTTTGAGTGGTTTTGTTGCTGGTAGTGCAAACTAAAAGTATTTCGATTATATGTTACATTGGATTTGAATAAATCACTACATATTTTAAATGTAACTATATACATATACTGTTTTATCAAACCAATAAAACTACTTCTACCAAATTTAAATATATGGCATTGTTAGAAGGTTTTATTGATCCAATGATAACCAACGTTATGGAAGCGTTACATAGAAGATGATGTGATATTGCAACAAGACGGGGCCCTCCTCATTTTGCACAAATGTTCGACAGTTCTTTGTGAGAATATTAGCAGAATGAGTTCGATGAAAGATTTTAATCAGTCAACACAAAAATCAGTGTTAATATAAACTTACAATGGCAGATTTCTTGAATTAAATTTTTCACATACATATTTCAAAATTACTTATACACTAAGCTGGCGCTGTATGAATATCAAACTTGATTATAATTATATATATTCCAACATTCTTGGACCTTAGGTTCCCTGGTAGATGGGTTGGATGTAGAAGTTGTATCAAATGGCTAGATATGTCACTGTTAGATTTTTTTCTTGTGAAATCTCAAATTTATGCAGCGCAACCTGAATCTTAGTGCTTGTTCACAATGGACACAGTACCGCATTTCCCATTAGGCCAACTAGGCCCAGGCCTAGGGCGCAAATTTTTAGGGGGCGCTAAATTGGAAGGGGTACAAAAGAAAGAATGCGCTTTAGGTAAAGTTCAATTTGCTAGCGTCGCTTATCGTGTCCGTAATCGTTGACTTATTCGTAAGCGTAATAGGGCGCAACGCAATCCTCGTGGTCATGCAGACCATCTTCCTGCTACGTTGCGGGCACCGGCGGCCAAGGGTCATATGCAAACATACTCCCCTTTTAGCGAATAATTGAACTTGTCCAGCGGGGCGCTTTGTTCCGAGGCAATAGCTTGCACCAGTTGTACTTGTTACTTTGTTTTTTCTACATGATGAACCAGGATGTAATTATTTCTGGTTTTTAATAAATGGTCAGAATTTGTGAATATTATCTATCATAAATGTATTGTGTTTGGAGTTCATATTTTCGTTATTCTATACACCATCCAAATCAAATACAATTTTGACAATATCAAGAATAATTTATTTACAACTGGACGTGTATGGGGGGCGATAAGAGTGCGGAGGTAGGGGGCGCTCTTTAGTTTGTAGGCCTAGGGGCGCTGAATGGCTAAATGCGGCCCTGAATGGACATAAGCATAACAAAAACATAACAGATACATAATTCATAATGTTGAATAGTAGCAAACCAACGTATGTGTTCACAATGATTACATAATTTTTATTTTTTTGTAAATGTTTGCGTATGTTTTATGTCCTACCGCAACGGTACATAAAAAATACATAAAGTTGGGTCGGTTTCAACTTTACGTAGGTTTTATGAAAAATCTAGTGGAATTAGGTGTATTTCTGTTGGGTACAAAGACGCAGCTGTTGGTTTGACATTTCAGTTACTACGTCTAACGTCGATGACATCTCTTCTGCCAACATAATCTGGTTATTTTTAAATTGGTACATAGTTTTTGGCGCATTATTTCATAGTTTGGTGTGGTTTGGTCCTTCGTGTGTTGTTTTTTGATTATATCCAACACGACATGGAAAACGTATAGACGTCGAATTATTAATTAGTTTGGTGCGATTAAAACCCTAATTGTTTAATAAAGGGGACAAAAGATATGGTTAATAGGTGATCGAATAATCCTGGTGTATGAAAAAAACCATATTCTTCATCATGCAGCTTCATTTCTAGACAAGCTTAAATTCTTAAATTCTCCCCTTTTCTCTCGGTCTCGATTTATAGGTCTGACCCACCAACGCCGTTTTTGTTTTGTAACAACTTTGTCTCTATGTCTTCATAACAGTAAAAGCAATAAAACTGTTGAAATTTCCATCTCAGTGGCACACACATATACACCACAAATAATATTGTTATGTTCTTGACGTTTTGATTTGCGCCTACGCAGATAATTATAATCTTACGGTCACTGTGAACACTTTCTCCACCTGCGTAAAATTATGTCTTATATCAATATTATGTTTTATGTATCTGTTATGTTTTTGTAACGCTTATGTCCATTGTGAACAAGCACTTACTTTATCAATGATTAGGAAAGCAAATCGGATATGTCTGGTAAATAAAATACTTCACTTATTGTGCAAAAAATTGAGATTTTGAAAACACCTGCACGTAATACAAGATGAGATTATCTCTTCAAGTATCGATAAAACACTTATTTTTGTTTATTTGTCGTTTTATTTTTCAGCATCTCCAGCCTCAAGGATACGGTTACCGGGTTGCGTATTGCCAATGTATTGTACAGCACAGAGCGGTCCATTTTCTGCACTCTGCAGTGCTCAATGCTTTGGCGATGGTATACGCAATAGGTAGTCTGCCAATCCATTGCTCGCTACAGATCACATTATAATGACATTACTCTGAAATGCACAATGTTTTGCAGTACCGCAATCACCCGAGGTGACGCCATTCTATTAGCGGGCTCAGTCAGCTAATTAGTTTTATGGAAACAAAGTCTCGTCTTTGCGGAAGAAAACAACGAAAAATTAAAGTTCAGCCAACATCATTATCCCGCCGTAAATCTAGAGGTAGAGTGCAAGCTGGAAGGCCTTCCAATAAGGAGCGCGTTAAACGCAAACATAATATTAGTTTAAATATTTCACAAAATGAACGCCAAATTACGTTAGATTTTATTTTTAAAAGAATAAATTTGTATCTTAGAATAAATAAAAATGAAACAAATTAAAATTAAATATTGTCGTTTTCGAGCAGTTTTTTTTAAAATTATTTGATGTACTGAAATAAAAATAAAACTGGAATAAATCAAGTTACAAATTCACTAAAACACTAAAATCATAAAAATAAAAAAAATCTTAGGTCACTATATTTTTGATTTTATTCCTACACAAGTTTTACATTATTTATGCATAATGAACGATAGAGATATGGTTGGAGCCGACAACGAAACGGAGTTTAGACATACATTCGCATTCACTACAAAATAATGAATACATTAAGTACCGTCATTATAGTGTGATCTGTAGCGAACGATGGATTGGCAGACTACCTATTGGGTATACCATCGCCAAAGCATTGAGCACTGCAGAAAATGGACCGCTCTGTGCTGTACAATACATTGGCAATACGCCACCCGAGTATTTTAAAACCCCTGTCGAGAGATTAAAAATAGATTGGTAAATATACGGTTGAATAAAAGAGTTATTTTTTTAGTTTCTCTGTTATGATAGCATGTCGGTTAACTATTTTTTTGACCAACCTTGTATTAATTATCAAAAACAACATATCTGCTGTAAATTTAAATTCTGAAATTCGTAGTCATTTCCAGTTAAACTAGAAGTAACAAGTTTCCTTTCCAAAACAGTCTACACCAGTAGCCAGTTAACCTACTTTCTAATCGATGCAGCTTTCCAGTCAGCAAGTTTCCATAAATATCACCTCCAACCAGAACCATTTGCCTGTAAGCTTTTGCACCCAATTGGTGTTTAATAGTTTAGGATTCCCACTGTAAATGTTGTTTGCTTCTGCAATTGTACCCTATCCTAATTCTAACACCAAACTTTTCAGTGTATAGGACAATTGCGCCACACAGTCAATAAATGTACTATTTCCTTAGTCAATAAATGCACGTACTTCCTTAGATGCGTTTTCCCTGAAACTTATAGGGCGTACAACCTTCTTCGTTACAGAAATAAAAATGCTTTGGAAAATTTCGACTTAAACTAACATTACAATAGCAAATTTTGGAAAAAAACGTAACTGCGCTACCCTAACAAAAATTCAAAAAAAGCACCTTACAAAGCTCCTGTTACACTAGCAATAGAAATGTTATATGTATGTTGGAGAACGGACTGTTGAAATAGGGTACTCACAAAGTGAGGATAAATATGAAATAAAATATGAAACATTATCATATTCGCTTACCTATCTATCTCAAACTAGACAATTTAGTTTTTTTCTTCTTTTTTAAATTCTCCTTCAGGGCACAACAAAAAATCCTAACATTGACTTAAAATAATAAATATAAAAATTATAAAAATACAAAAATTTATTCTAACACATATGAAAAGAAAATGAAATACAAAAAAAAAACTTAAAAAAAACAATGCCCTTAGAATAGAACACACCCCGTTTGCAAACAGTCGATCTAAAAACCAATTAAGATATCTCAAAAATTACTCACGCTTCCGTTAATAATAACCCAATAAACTGGTCAGGAGAAGAAATATGCGATGTTCAGCGAAACACACACGAATCTGACAGATTCTTCTCAGAAACAAAAATAACCTATCCTTAAAATACCACAACTGATTCGAAGACAATAACACCTTGTGACTACTCGGATAGTAAGACTTTTCTTGTATCAAAGAGTACCCATAGTAAGAGATACAGCGCAATGGTAGAAACGCGTGTTGGCTATAAGAACTCGCCCGCTAGGATTCCAAAAGCGGGCTCTCGCGTAGAGGTGTCCAGAAGTAACCGCCCCTTTAAATTTTGCCGCGAAATTAGAATTTGCAGAATTCTTTATAGAATAGCTGTTTAAAATATTTGCGCGGTTGTCACATTTAATTTTCTTTCTTATTGGCTGTATAAAATGTGGACATGATATAATTAGAAAACCATTATGCTTAATATAAAAGAAATAAGCAACGGAGATTTAGTACATTGTTAATTAGATTAATATCTTCCTGTTTAGTTGGCATTTATAGAATAGAAAGTAATTACCAATCAATTGAATAACTAGTACAATGACAAAAATGTCATTAAATTTTTATTTTGTTATTCATCTGGACTTTCCACCCTTTGTACATACAGTTAGTTCCCTTCAAGTGCTAAACAGTACCACATCCCAGGGTTTGTTAAAGTTATATTGTGTTTTGATAACGTATCTTTAAAAGTTTAAACTTAATCAATGGTTCATTCGTGTGTATATATTAATTGCGATGCAAATCGCCGAAACGGAGACAATATAAGTTTTTTTCGATTTCCCCTAGAAAAAGAACGATGTGATAAATGGTTAAACAATTTAAAGGGGAAGTAAAAAGTAAACAGTTTTGTTTGTTGAATGTTATTCATGGAACCTATCTATGTGACTAATGGACTGTAAACATTTGTATTAATTCGCTCTTTTTGTTTTATTCTGAGGACCTATAGGTAATCACCCTCGTAATCACCTAACCACCAACTCAATATTTCCTACTCCTTACAATCCTATGTACATTATTATTATTTCCACATTGCGCGCAACGTTAAGCGTAAATATTTTGGATTTCGGAATTAGGCTACACAAGGTGTAGAAACGGTTTAAATGCCATAGTGCAATTCAAATTTCTTTATATAGAAATATTTTCTCCCCGAATTAATTTAGAGCAAAGTTGTAAATAGGTTTCTTGTAGCTCGGAAAAATCTGCGTCTGCTCATGTACTCATTTATGATTTTTCAATTCTGGAAACGGGAAAAATTAAATAAATTAGAATTTAGCATTTACGTAAAAATCTAATTTTTGTTTCAATAATTTCACGGCACGGGTGATTTTCACTAAAATGCTTACTTCTTTCGTTTCTTCGATTTATCATAACAAAAAAATACAAATAAGCAAATTAATAGACGTAAAATTTCACAATCTACAAAACATTTATTTACAACTTTGCTGTGAGATAATTAGGGGAGAAAATATTTCAGTATAACGAAATTACCATTGAAATACGTATGGTGCGTGCGTAAACCAGCCTGCATACAGGTACGGTAAGTACGAAATTCCTGCTAGGTAATTATAATTATTTTTAAATTTCATCATAAAAAAATCGCATTAATTTAAATCACTATTGTGATTGGAGTGGCAATAGAAAATATATTCCAGTAAATTGCGTTCAAGGAAAATATGTAGGTAAGCAAACACAAAAAATTGGCAACGCTGGAACTTCTGCCATTTATTTATAAATTTACAAACAAGTAGTCGCCGTAAAAATCTGGTTTAGCCCCTCAGGCGTAGCGTGCGTTACAATAAATCCGCGAAAAATCAGTAAAATTGATTAGGCAACACACAATACTTTTCCCTATACCGTTGGATCTCTTACTATGGGTACTCTTTGCATGTATAACGCCAATTATTTCATCAATCTTGATAACACAAACTGGAAATTCCATGTGTAACAACTTTTTGCATTATTTAATGAACATGAGGACGATTAGATTTTCTTATATTTAAAATTGCATAGCCTTCTGAACCACCAGTACCAAAATTAGCGTCACAGACAATCACGTTGACTTTTAAAATAACTCGAGGCAACCTCGTTTGCTCTTCATTTTTCCTATTTAGGCGAAAACTACTTCATTTAATAAAATCAACATCGTTATTTCCAATAACACTCCAACATTACAATAAGAAACAAATATTAAAATGGTAAATCAGCAAATTTTTCCAATTATTTGTCTATTTGAAAGTAAAGAAATTATGAAATAACTTGAATTATGTTACATACAGAATGTCCTGATTGATATTTCTGAACGTTATACAGAAATTACGTTAACAACACGTATTTTTACACTACACGGTGGCTCGCTCTCATTTGCGGCATTGTTTTTTTTTGTACGGGTAACCCCATTTACAAAAACCAAAACCCCGGTACATGCTACAAATAAATCTGCTTTTCACTCCCAAAGAAAGTTCGCCCTTAAAAATAAGCTCCATCAAGTTAGCCCACGTAATTAAAAAAAAAAGTGTAATGGCCATTTTTATATAGTGCTAGAGTTGTGCTAAATTGTGCTGATTCGATTTTAATTTGCGCTGATCTGGAACATCATTTTTCCTTAAATTGAAACACGGGGGCCAATTTGACTCTCAGCCCCTCGGTTTTTTTAACGTACAAATTCCTTTACTACTGTAACGATTTGTGCTCGATGCATATTGGATTGTGCCGGCCAAATATTCGAAAATATTCTTCCGGTACAAGAAGAATAGTTTCGTATTTCGAACGAGGTGAGTCTCCCATGAATTATTCCAAAAGTACATCTAAAACGGCTGAAAGAAACGAACATAGTTTACGTTGCAGTATAAATACTTATCCCCTAATGTGAGCTATAAAACACAAAAGTACAGTACTTCCCCATTCTTACCTCCCAATAACGACAGGCCGCACAAATAATTCCATTGTAGGTAACATAAAGTTTGATTTTCTTTCGTTTAATGGCAAGTGTCTGTGACGGTTGCCAGTTACTGTTCCATTGAACTCGCTACAACTCTATGTCGGAACTAACTAATGTATAATAATTTTGAACCCATTACTTGCGATTGTTTTTCAACCCACGAACAATAGGAGGCGTTGGTATTTTCAGTTGTTCCTTGGCATCGCCCCAATTTGTTCATTTCCTAAATGTGTTATCTTAAGCAAGGAATTGTAGAAAGGCACGAAACTCTGGCATTTAGCAATTTAGATCGTAAACAAGATTGCCAGTTAAAGAAATTATATCTTAATTAAATAGCTTCTTTTGGAATATGTTGCCTTTAACTTATGAGAAAGTAAATAAGATTACAAAGCTGTTAAATTAATGGAATGTAGTTTATTGTATATCTCAATACATTATTCAAAGTGAAACTGTTGCTTTTACAGAATCAGAAGCATATACCGCTAGTGTTGGGATTGCTGTTGTTGGTGCTACCCTTCCTTCCAGCGATGAATCTCCTCGTAACAGTGGGGTTTGTTATAGCTGAACGAGTTCTGTACATTCCGAGGTAATTATTTCTTGTAGATCGATTAAATTACTATCCTTTGATGTTCTAGTTTGGGATGTGTATTGCTAATAGTATACGGAATACAATTACTTTGGAATGCCCACATTCGACATCGCCAAACAATTGTGGGATTAACAATTTTACTATTAATCACAAGTTCGTTTAGGGTAGTTATTAGAAATAGGGATTGGCGCTCCAGAGAGTCGTTGCTGCGGTACGTATAACATTGCAAAATAGTAACATAATAATGTCGCATTTCTGAATGTAGAGCTGGATTGTTAACACTCCCCCACAATGCGAAGATGCATTACAATTATGGGAACTTTCTCAGAGACACGGCAAGACCTGAATTGGCAATAGCGCATTATAATGTCGCACTGAGGTATGTAAACCTGTACCTACATCACTTTCTAATCATTTGGCCCTATTTTAGGTTATGGCCCATGTATGCAAGTGCCCATAATAACTTAGGAACATTAATATCCAATGAAGCAGAAGCGGAGGAACACTTTCTGGCGGCAATTCGTTATTCTGCTGACCACGTAAACGCACACTACAACTTGGGTCAACTTTATAGGTAGATATTTTAACGTTCCCTTGGATAATAAAAATGTTAATCACTCACAGACATATAACATTTAATCTTCTTTTATGTAAGTAATTTTCGCTGTATATAGTCGTGTAGAAAGCTTCATATCTCATTTTAACACAAATTTGTAAAGTAATTGCTGGGTTTAATATTGAAAAACGAGTTTAAATGGTTTCCGCATGCAATCAGTCACATTTCCGTTTCCGTTATACGTCAAGTACATGGAGTCCTTTTGAAAAATTGTCTGTTCAAATTTATATAAAACACCAATTTTACATATTTATGTAACACGACACGGATGTTCCATTATATCGAATTAAATATCCAACAATTTATTACATTTTTGTTGTCGTAAAACATGTCCCGTGATATATTTTCAGGAAAGGATTAACATGTTATATCCGTTAGTATGGAAAAACTATCTCCGACGTTTTGCGGGGATTAAGCCGTTTCGAATTTTCGCATTATCCTGAAATATACAGGAAGTTAAAAAAAAGCGTTGTTTTGTTGCTTTTTATACTTATTGTTTGTTGCAAACATTTTTGCTTATTCATTTCCTTTTTCGCTGTTGAATGCAATTGATTTGAAGTGAAAAATGGTCAATCCTTATATGCTGATTTTACGTGACTCTTGTTTTCTTTAATTTACACTAGCTTATGCTTTACTTTTTTGCTGAAGATAGCGGTGATAATGGCATCAATTGGAATATCACAATGAATCAAACGATGTGTATTTTTAAGGGCGTAGGTGACTATAAACAAAAAAGATAGACAAACACACATTATAGTACAGAGAGCGGCAGCATCTTACGTTCAGATAATATTCCAGTTCTCAAAAGCTAGGAAACAAGGATCAACGTCACAGGTATAATAAAAAAGTATTTTTGGCGGTTTTGAGGCAGTCAATAACTCAAATCGAAGCCTAAGTAACCTTCTTTTCGTATACAATTCAGTAGTTACTCGAAGAGTTACATACCCGGAAGCGAGAAGGTTAGCTGATAGTGGTGTTACTACAGGTAACCTCTACTCAACTGTAGCTGCACCACCAACCACCTACAGTTAAACGAATATTGTTCCTGAAATTAAAAAAATAGTTAGCGAGGAAATCAAAACTCCACAATGATGAATCACATAAATGAGTCTCTGTTAAGACTAGTACTGCCAACTAAAGTGCACCACCCACCGGAAGCAATGGATGATGAGTCCAGGGGTGCCAAACGTAAAACCTCTTTAGCCAGAGCTAAATCTACGAGTATCGAGTCTGTAGACGAAACGGCCTTAGCAGAGGCCAAGAATCCTAGGAAAAAAAGGGGTGGCCAAAAGGCAAGCCAAGGAAGGCCAGTAGTCAGGCGGGAGCCAGTAGGCAATCGGCACCTAGTGAGACGGAAATGAGCTGTGATACTTATAGTGATGTCCCAAAAAGACCATCTCGTGATAATATCTGTGATCAAAAACTGTGATATATTTATATTTGTATAGCCGTATAGTGCAACTATTTACACCAAATTTTATTTGTTTATGTGTGACATTTATGTTTGTATAGTCCACATATTATTTATACTTTATTTATTCACGCGTGAGCATTTTTACCTTAACATGAATTTAAAATCATAACTATCCATGTCGTTCGAGCAAAAAAATTGCATCCTCCAATGGAATTGTAGAGGTTTAGTGAAAAAATACACAGATTTAAAAATGCTCCTACACAAACTGAACCCCATGTGTATTTGTCTCCAAGAAACGCATTTTAACATAAACCAACCGTACTCTCTTCGAGGATACGACATTGTTCGTAAGGATTTTAATAACCCACAAAGGGCATCGGGTGGTGTCGCTATAGTCACTAGAAACGGCGTACACTGTGACCAACTGATATTAAACACTCGATTACAAGCAGTAGCCATTAAAATGAGTGCGCCTATGAAGATTACCGTCTGCAACATCTACCTTCCTGATGGGAATTGGGAAGTTGCGGATCTTGTGCACATTGTGGATCAACTCCCTGTCCCGTTTCTAGTGGCTGGAGATTTCAATGTACACAATAGACTATGGGGATCAACAAAGAACGACGCCAAAGGGCTCGCCATTGAAGATTGGCTTATCAGGGACAACATAGTCATCCTTAATAATGGATCATCGACATATCATAATACACGTTCAAATTCATTTGACGTCCTTGACTTAACCTTGATAACGCCAACACTAGTACCCCGACTTGTATGGAATGTCGTTGATGATCTACACAATAGTGACCATTTTCCAATTACTATTGAGACGGATACTTCTGTGCCTGATCGAGCAGTAGTCAGCAGATTCAGAATTGATAATGCGAATTGGCCAATGTTTCGACAGAACCTCGTGGCCCCTGGTGATATTAGTGTTGGTGCAGTAACGAGTTCCATATTTAGCGCGGCAGAACAAAGTATACCTGGGTCCGGTAATAAGCCGGTTAAGACGCCTATTCCTTGGTGGAATCGTGAGGTTGAAGTAGCAATCAATAGGAAAAAGAAGGCATTTAGGAAATACCGAAGGCAACCAACGATTGACAACCATATAGCATTTAAGAGAGCTAGCGCTAATAGCAGACGGGTTGTACTTGAGAGTAAGCGACAAAGCTGGAATCGTTATACATCCACAATCTCGGCAAGCTCAGATATCAGCAACACCTGGAAAAAGATCAAATCAAATAATGGTAAATATAAAAGTCAATCAATCTATCCCATACAAACCCATCTAAACCAAATTACGGAAGATCCGGTTGAGATTGCTAACGTGATGGCTCTCCAGTTTGCCAATGCTAGTAGTTCTGCTAATTATCCAGCTAACTTTGCTATCACTAAAAACGGGAGAGAAAGGGAATTTCACTTTGAAGCTACTAGTGATCTAGAATATAATCTGCCGTTTACTATTGATGAACTTGAGTTTGCCCTAAGACATAGCAAAAAACAGCACCGGGACATGATATGGTTTCCTATGACATGCTACTAAATCGCACACCGGAAATTAAAATGTTATTGTTGCAGCTATATAATAAGCTATGGGATGAACACACTTACCCTGATGAGTGGAAGGAGGCAGTAGTAGTACCTATCCTCAAACCTGGGAAAAATCCCCTGAATTCAGCGAGCTATCATCCAATCAGCCTCACCTCTTGTATGGGTAAATTGTGGGAAAGAATGATAAATAATAGGCTGCAGTGGTATCTGGAAAAACATGGTGTCCTGGTACCATACCAGGCGGGCTTCAGGAGGCACAGATCAACCACTGATCACCTTGTTCTTTTTGAATATGCTATTCAAGAATCTTTTCGAAAAAGAAATCACTTGGTGGCTGTCTTTTTTGATATTAAGGGAGCTTACGATATGGTTTGGAGACATGATATTCTGGAAAAGCTTTCCCATTTAAACATGAAAGGCAATTTACCATTACTAGTAAAGTCATTTCTAAATAATAGACGATTTCGGGTGAGAATAGGTGATAAATTCTCGGACATTAAAATTGTAGAAAACGGAGTGTCCAAGGATCTACCTTAAGTTGCACACTATTTGCCATTGCAATTAATGATATTACAAAGAATGTTGTCAATGATATATCCATATCCTATGTACGTTGATGATATCGCCATATTCTATTCTGGCAAGACTATTGGGAAAATAAGTCGTAAACTCCAACCCGCGATAGACCAAATAAATCAAAATGGTAACAATGTTGGCCTGAGTTTTTCCAGAGAGAAGACTCAGTGTGTGCACTTTTGCAGACTCCGAAAACCACATTATGACCCGGTATTATTTTTGGCAGGCGATCCAATAACATGCTCTGGTACTGCAAAATTCTTGGGGCTTACGTTTGATAATACTCTGAATTGGAAAACACACATAGAGGCACTTAAAAATAAAACCATGCGAAGCCTTAATATCATTAAAGTGTTGGCACACACTAAATGGGGTGCAGAACCTAAATGCCTCATAAAAATATATCAGGCCTTAATTTTATCGCAGATTGACTATGGCTGCATAGCATACTCATCGGCGCGAAAATCGCTACTTACGACGTTAAATAAGATACACAATGCCGCCATAAGGTATTGCCTTGGAGCCTTCCCTACAAGTCTGGTATTCAGCTTATATTGTGAATCTGGATTACTGCCTTTAGAAATAAGACGGAAACAGCTAACTGCTCGTTATTTTGCGAAAGTTTCATCGCTACCCTTACACCCTAATAATGAGCTGTTTAATGTAGACGTACAATCGTACAGGTCAGCACCTACCATTACTCGACCAGCTTATATTAGGCACAAGGAGTATTTCGATCAGAGGGGAGTAGTCCTTCCAAATTTGTTGGATGAGAGGATATGGGAAGTTACACCATGGGTGATACCGAAAATAAACATAATAAAAGATCTCATGAGGCACAAAAAAGAAATTACAAAATGCGACACTTACCTACAGGAATTTGAGACCATCCTTAGCCAATATCCATCATACCAGGTAATATATACGGACGGATCAAAAACTATAAATGGGACGGGTAGTGCCATAGTCACCGAAGGTGCAGCATATAAGTGGAGATTGAATACCATATCGTCCATCCATTTCGCTGAACAATATGCATTATGGCAAGCGATCCTGTATTGTTCCATGGCAAATAATAGCAGGTTCATAATCGTCACCGATTGCGCTAATGTATTGCATGATCTTTCGGAAATTTATTCACATAACGCTATGAATATAATATGTCAGTCTGCCTTAAATAGTATCCTCGCACAAGGGAAAGTACTTACGTGTATATGGGTTCCAAGCCATGTGGGTATTGAAGGCAACGAACAAGCGAATAGCGCTGCCTATCAGGCGGCACTTGTGGAGCAGGTGGAAGTCAATCTTGCTGCTCCATATGACCTCGGGAAATACCTGAAAAACGAATGCCACACGGAATCGCAAGAAAAATGGACAGCAACAAATACTCACCTTTCACAAATAAAACCCATCGCAAAGGGAATGTTTACACTGCCAGGCGCAACTAGAGAAGAGAGTGTAAAGATGCATCGTCTGAGAATAGGGCACATTCAAATAACCCACGAACATCTACTGAATCGTACTAATCCCCGACAGTGCAATCGATGTAGGATGGCCCTCACGGTGGCCCATATAATAAAGGACTGTCCAGTATTCTGTAATGAGCGTGTAACACATAGTATTATGCCAAATTATAATCAGAATTTTACCAGCTGGGATAAAGCTAGAAATTTATTGAATTTCTTGAAAAGTATTGAAGTGTATGGGAAAATTTAGATGTGTGGTAACATAGATGAGAATTAAAAGGGGATATGACCTTAGCTGTCGAACCCTCATTAAAAAAAAATAAAAAATAAAAAATAAAAATTATTGCGGAAAATCCATTCGATGTAAATTCGCGATGAAAACATTTAGATTGCATACGAACTTTCCCGAATGAAAATCAAAGTAAATTACTCAAATCCATCCTTTGTTTACTCCAAAAGTAAATTTAAATTAATTATTAAAGCGACTTCTACCAAACAACTGAAGTTAGTAGATTGTCAGCGCAAAAGGTAGATAGAAAGAGTTACCATATAACGAACACCGAAATGTAATTTTTAGATTTATTTAACAAACGGAACAACGATAAATATGGCATTTTTTTACAAAACATTTATAGGAATGTCCGGATTTTAATTGACAAATAAATGAAAAATTCAAAATTCCTTCGAAATAAGTTCACATATAACTATTGTATGCGATACAATTTTGCTCCATTCCGCCAATTTACAAAGATCGATTCTTTCCGATCACTTTCAATACAATTTAATGCAATTTATTAAATAGAACCGATAGTAAATTTGAATACAAACCAAAAAGAATTTCGTTACCTTAATTATGGCGTTTTCTGAAATCCACTTTTTGGATTTTTTGTACAGTTACCCCATCTTGTGCAATTGATCAGGCATTGATCTGTCTACTTTTATCGTCTGCTTTGACTAACGTTCCCTTCTCACAATATAATTTATTAAAAGCGTACTACAGATCCAAACCGAAACTGATTAAATTTGTTTCTTAAAACTTTCGCTTTCGAAGTGGAATTTTTCAATAATTGAAACTTCTGATTCGTTTGTAACGAAGCACTCAGTTTTCAGATCAGCATTAATTAACGCGCTGTACATTTTGGAGTTTGCCAGCTTTAATGAACACCCGGTATCTAAAGACGCTTCTTTACGAAAAGTGTTGTTCTAGAACTATTTATTCATCTCTTTTAAGAGTTGGAAATGGAAGGTAAAAAAGTTGCTGTATTATACAATGTGTTCAAGAAAAGGATGTCTGTCATGGGGAACTCTGAAACGATAGAGGATGCGACGATATTATAGAAAAGCTACATAATTAAAGAGTCATTATCGTGCTTTAAAGAAAACCAGTCCGATTACTTCCGAAGATATTCTAGAAA